GGAGTATGTTTGGAAAATGACATCGTTTTTGTAGGTTTTGTCGCTGTGTGTCACCACAGTGGATCTTAAGTTAAACAATCAAGATGTGGTTGAAATCCAAACTTTTGGCTTTAGTTCAAAAATAATGCTTTATGCTTTAAAATAATAATAATAATAAAAACGTTTTGGAATTACAGCCAGTTTTATATCCAGTCCCTCATTCTCAGAGGATCGAAAGTAACAGGACAATTGTTTGATGAACAGTTTCATGACTACCAGAGCTCCAAATTCAACTCTTTGAATCAACTCCAGATCTTTTATTTGCCTAATTTGCTGTGATCTACTGAAGGAACAGGCCTCACTTGGCCATGAAGCTATTGTATCAGTCAATTGTCCAATTATTTTTGAGCCTCTGAAATGTGGGACGTGTAAAAAAATGGCTTTAATTCATGAACAGTTCATGCAGTACTTTGATTAAACCCTTTGAATTAAAGTTGAAAGTCTGCCACATGGTGAGTGTTTGACCTAAAACCCACTGTGGTGATGTACAGGAGAAAAAAACCTAAAAACTCTGGGTTCCTAAGGGTGGATAAAATATTGGACATTATCATGAGAGCTGTTAGGTCAAGTCAGCAGTCCACAGGCCTGCAAGACAGGACTGTGTCAAGGCACAGATCTGGGGATCGATACAAGACAATACTTTAAGCATTGAAAGGAATTTCAAACAAAGTTACTTTGAACAGAAGAAGTGTGAAGCAACCAACAGTCAAACTGAAAACCCAGTCAAAATGAGTAATAAGGGATGGATGAGAGCCATACTGTAGTTCCTTGTTGGCTATAGGAGAACCTTCTACAAGGACAGCCTTCAGTGCAGCACCAATTATACCTTAATGGTGGAGTGGCCAGATGGACTTCATTCCTCACTAACAGGCACATCACAACATGCTGGGAGTTTTGCCAGAGGCCACCTGAACGACAACTAGAAGGGGAAATTGGTCTGATGAAATGATGATTCAACCATTTGGCCGCAATTTCCAGCGGCATGTTTAGAGGAAACTAGGCGCTGAGCATCACCTCATTAATACCACCCCTACAGTCAAACACGGCAGTGGAGGCATCAAGCTGTGGGGGACAGGAACTAGAAGACTATAAATGGGATATTTTCTCTCTGTTTCCTTGTCTGTTTGTGTGTTAGCAGAAATATGCAACAAATCCCAGGTTGGTTTTTCATAAACTATCCTTGCAAAAGGTGACAAGGAAAGCACACATGGACAGAGAGAGACACACAGTGGCACACACTAGAAGACACAACGGTAAAAAGAAAAAGCAGGGACAGGGCTCAGACTTTGAAAATGTGCCAGGATAAACCTGATTCGTTCAAAACAATCACAAATACCATTCAGTATGAACAGGCTGTACCTCAGTGGCAGGTCTGCAGTGTTTACATCAAAATACCTTCTAGAAACATCTTCAGAATCTGAGGATGGTTACTAGGAAGATATGTCAGTCAGTCTGATCAAATCAATTAAGTTATCAATCAAGAGTAAGAAAACTTCTAGGAAATATGAGATGTTTCCAGGTGATTTAACTTTCTCGAATGAGTTCAGATTGTTCAAATTAAGCTCTGTTTAACCACATGTTTATTCTTACACACAGAGACAGAGTATTTGATCCATTGTGCTGTTGTGCCATTGAGACTGTCCTGCAGATTTGCTTTGGAAATTTCACCAGCAGTTTAGTCCAGAACGGGCAGCGATGCACTATTCGAATTTTAAGAAAGCCGAACTGCTTCATACTTGAGACAAGACTGAATTGAAAGCACCCAGCAGAGCTGATGAAGGATGCTGCTGGAATTTTCTTGATCTGAGAGTTTAAAAATGTTTGATTGCACTGTCAAAGGAGCCCAGCGCGGGCTTTTTATGTAAAACTACAAATATTTCATCAGCCAGGATGACAAAGTAGAGCAGCATTAGAGGAAACAACAACCAAAAAAAAAAAAACATGGGCAAACCAGATGCGACACAGATGATTTGATCTGTGCCTGTATCAGCGGGAAACGTGATACACATATCAGTGCTGTTGTCACTTTGTATCCTGTTTAAAGTGCAACAGCTAAGTATTTGAGCAATCGATCCAGCTGAGATTGTTAAATAACAACTGAAGGTTCACTATGTTCAGTAATTGTGATCTTCTTTATTACATGGTAACCTGAAGATCTTATTAATGTACCAGGGGTTCAAACAAAACAGCTGTTTTAGATAGAAAAGGTGAAAAACAAAAGTGCAAACTCTGTCGAGTGAAAGCTCGGCAGAGAATTTATCGTCCAGCTGCGTGCAGTTCACTGGCAATGTGTTACATGATTACTGGATAATAAAACTCCAAGTTGCAAGCAAGCAAAACTGTTTACTGCAACTTTGGACCAAGCACTAAAGATTACAGATGAGTTAATGGCAGCGAGGCAGAGACGCCAGCTGCAGCGGCTGTGTCCGAGCTCCGGGGCAAAGTTGATGGAGGTGCATTATGACAAAAAAAGGTGGGACGAAATTGTTAAGATCCAATATTGAAGCCAAATTGCAGGACCTGAACTGCAATCTTACAGTCACAAAACAGAGAAAGTCTTACTGAATTTAGGATGGATAAATAAAATCAGCAAAGTTGCCCCCAGCACTTCTGCTGTTAAATCCTATCATCTGCACCAGGTGAATTATTGCAGCACACCGCTTTTTTCTTCTTCTTTGAAGCAGAGAAAGTTTTCACCTTTGCCTGTTATCCACTTAGTGTGTCTTGGTGAGCCAATAGCTACTTATCAAATCAACCCAAGTGCACTGTCATCTTGATAACTCATGTTGTTTTCATGTTTTTAGTACCAAAGAAGAGTCTTGAGATCCCGAATGCCTCTCACTGAACAGATATCATCCAAGAAAAGAAAAAAAAATGACCTTCTTTCAGAAGCTAGCAGCTCTTCCTGTTTTTTTTTTTCTGCAGAATTGCACTACTTTAAATCTATAATTAATTTTACCAGCATTTGGCCCACAACAATATCCTGTGACAGGTGGACCCAGAGACTTTAATCATAATACATAATCCACTTTGTTCACGGCATCTGCATTTGCTGACTTTCCCTTTTTTTGAAGAATTACTAACTACTGCCAAGTCTGAGCAAATAACAACAGTGTTTGGAAATAAGCCAGACAAATTGTAGCAGGGCAACAGACCATCGGTCCCAACTTGGGTCATGCACTTTCATTTTCAAATCCTTTGCACATGGATATTGTTTTTGTCCCTCACTCTGGGCACTTAGCATTGTGTATGTGGGTATATCCCCACATACACAAACTAAGGGTGATTAGCCAGCATTTACAAACGACTCTATAAAGGCATTTATTGTTGATAAAATTTAGGAGGAACTGTGCCTCTTTATATCAAGGAAGTAAAATTATATTTGCATGAAATTTAGAGTTCCAGTGAAACAAGACTTTTTGTGCTGAGAGCAGGTGAAGCTTTGCTTAAAAGTATGTTCAGTTACACAATATTATATTCTCATTTTGTCATCGAGCTTCTTGTAAAATATTGACAATATACCATTTTAATAAGGAGGGATCGTTTGGACGGCTAGGATGGTGGTGTTGAGGTAAAGACTTTGGATCAGAGTTTGGATGACACACATCCAGCCTGAACAGTCCAAATGTACCAATCCAGAGCCTGAAATGCACAGTGACAGATCGCAGTGGATTTAAAGAACAGGGAAAAGGGGCAGGTTGGCTTAAACTGGCGGAGTGGTCATTGGGCAAGAGAGATTTTGAACAAGGTTATTATGAGAGTGTAGGAAAAAGTGGCAAAGAAAGTGTAGCAGCAGCAACAACGGCCAATATAAGCAAGAGGAATAACGACTAAATGAGAGCGGTTAGATCTGTCATTTCTTTATATTTTGCTTCCAAGAAGCCAGACTTTCTTGTAATTTTTTATGTGGTCTTGAGCATTCTCCAGGTCTTCTGAAGGTCATTTTCTTTTGGGCTTTAGCTACCTTTTCCACACATTTTTAGTTTAGTCCTTGTATCTGACCATTTCAAGCAGATTTCCTTCAGCAAAGATGACCTGGGAGATGGATCTGGCTGTTCAGTTTGGCCACTGTGTTCACTAAAGCCCCATCAGAAATAGTCTCAGTAGAAGGGTTGTCAAGTCAGTCTTAAGGAAGGAAAACAGGGAGAAAAGGCTGAGGTATGCCTTTTCTCCCTCTGGACTCAGTTGGCATACAAACTGAGTCCAGTTTGTATGCCAAATCATTTTGACTCAAAATAAGTCAAAATGATCCCACACTACTTTAATAACATTGAGGTGCAGGCTCAGAAAAGGGCAATCCACAGCTGATGTATGCTTTTACAACACTAGCAGTTTTTTGGGAATCACTGTCATGCTGAAAAATGAAGCTGTTCCAAATCAGATGTTTTCCAGGTTGAATTAGATGGTGGACCAAACTCTGATGGTACTTCAACAAGTTCCCCAACAGCAGTTTCTGTGGCTTCTTTTCCAGTTTCCTCAAAATTTTAAGTGCAAACTGCACACCATGCTATGATAGATGCAACAAAAGAAGTGGCAACAAATTATGTGCATTTACAACTGACTAATAAAAAAAGAGCCTAAAGATACAATTAAATACAATTTTACTAAGTCATCTGTCATGTGGAGACACAACACTGATTCATACTTTTAGTTAGGTGCATTTTATGTTTCAATAATTCACAGGTCAGTGTTAACGGTCAGGTACAACGACTGAAGTGAAAATGATTGAAAATCAGTCCCATGTCCAAAGAAAAACTTTGAAAGACCTCCAGGAAGCCTGGAGAACTACTGCTCAAGACCACTTTCTATAAAATTACAAGAATGTCTGGCTCCCTGAAGCCTTCTGCACAGTATCAAAACTGAATGCCAGTTATGCATAGCTGAAAGAGAAAAACAAAGTTTGCACCATGGTGTGCCATTATTTCCATCATTTATCTCAATTTCTGTCCCCACCATCACAGCAGAGGTCGCCTCTCCATCAGTCGGCACGTCAGCAACCAGGAAAGCAGGTGAGCCGCATTTCCATTACGTCCGACCTCCCAGCTCACCAGTGTGTGCCACACAGTAACACACACAAAGCAAACAGCAGCCAGCAGGCACTCCTGGCACAGTCGCACAGATTCTTTTAACCACGTGTTTGTCAGAAGGTGAAAAGAGATTGGGGTGCTTGTGTGAGCGCTCAGCGGACACACTGCTGTTGCTTCTATAATATTTTCCACTTGGCTGCATGTATCAAGACAGGAAGGAAATTAACAGCTTGAGGTGTCTGAGTGATGCTGCTTCAGCTGCCGCTAGCTGTGTGTGTGTGTGTGTGTGCACCTAAGTGAGAGAGACAGATAGAACTAGAAAGCGAGGGAGAAAAAGAGGAAGAGAGAGAAAGATGCTTTCCTCCATGACTTATGGTATGTGGCCCGGGTCATTTGTCTGGTGAAGTTCTAATGCCAAACTTTGCAAAAGTTTTCAGACAGGCCATAACACGGTCCACCTACCAGAGCACATAAGCTCTATTACTAAGAAATTTCTCTCTCGCTCTCCCTCACTCTCTCAGCGTAGAGGTCCCATATTTTATTGCATGCTCTGAAGACAACAGATAACTACCGCAGAGTTTCTTGTTTGGGGAAAATAAAAAAAAAAATAAAAAATGCCATCCACTGTGAGAGAAGTCTGGAGCCTGTCTTCTTGAGAAATATTAAATTGATCCCCAAACACACCTATTTTTGAGCATTAGTCCCAAACAGATGTATTCTTAGAGAAATAAATCTGAAGAAAATCAATTTTATTGGAGTGCTAAATTCTCACCGCACAGGCTTGATAAGTGGCTCTGGAAAGTTTGTTGCTTGCTACTTGGTGAAGCTTTCCGGGTCTTTATAACTCCACACAGTTGATGTTTTTAGTGTGTTTAATGAATGCATTTCACACATGATTTTACCAATGTTTTATAGCGGTTTTTGTGTGCACACATTAGTACACCTCGGCCTGTGTATGTGTGCACATTTTTGATAGTCTGGATGGAAATACATTCATTGTTATCGGTCACAAGTTGCTACGCTCATATTAGTACATGCTTGAGAAATAAACCAGCATGTTTAGGATGGCAGGAGAAACCAGAACTCCAAGAACTGAGCCAAATTTTTGCATAAATTGCTTTTGGTTTGAACTGTTCCTTTAATCTGTTTAAGTCGATCCTTACATGGTTTCTAATAGCAATCAAGAGGGATGGAAAAAAAGTTGCTCAACCGCTCATGTGACAAGACAGAAAAAAACATAAATGCACAGATCAAAAAATAATGACTTATGATTCAATTTCTGCTCTAACTGCGGTCAAAGCAACCCTACCACACCTGTCGTTCTCTGCAAAAAGGCGAGCTACAAACTTTTCGGTGCAGCATTCAGCAAGTTTTGAGACACCAAGTACCAGATGATTGAAAATATAGATTTTCAGTAGAGCACTCCTTAAACACTCCCTGAAGAATAAGAGGTCACCATGACCACAGCACCGGTAAAGCCCCAACAATCCTGGGCTGACACATAATGGAAGATTTGTATAGCGTCTGTGTTTCTGCGTCTTCACTCTGTCAGGTGTGTGAAGCCACATCTCTTTTGTAAATGACTGAGTAACAGTCGTGTTTCTGTGTGGATATTGGAGTCCATTAATTTCGCATGTGTACAATGTGGGAGCCTGACAAATCCTTTTATATCAGAGAGTGTGCATGTGTGGGTGTGTGTGTGTTTATTTGTCTGGGATCACACATAGCTTTCAGACATGTTTATCTTCAACATTAGTGTGTGTCCGAGAGTGTGTACACGTGTGTACTTCAGAGTGTGAAATCCCATTAAGTGTGTTAAAACCCCTCTCTGGCCTACTGCCTGTTTGGAGAGGCAGACGCCCTACACACAGACACGCTCGCAGTTGTCACACCTGTATGTGTGTTTGTTTTGTTACGCAGGCATCTGTGTATGTTTCTGCGTGCGGATATGGATGCACATCGGCTTTTGGAGAAGAGCTATATCGTGTGATGGTAATTTTCAGGTGAATATTTTCTACCGAAAATAGCGTTTGTGAATCTAATGTGGGTTCAAGGTCTCGTTGGTATCTAGAAGCTTTGGAACCATGAATATGTAACAAACTCAAAAAGTCTGCATACTACATATGACCACAATTTAATGTGTAATCTGTACAATTCCTTTGAAAAGCAAGGTGAAAGCTTGGGACTTCACAAGTCTTTAGCTTCCACTTATTTCTTTGTATGATGCTAGAAAAATAGAAAATAGACTCAGTGGCTTATTGAAATGTGCAAACATACGTGTAAGGCACAAATAGAGTTGTTATAATGTTTGTAAAAGTTCTTCTTCTTCTGCCTGAAATCTCCACGGCTTCTCCAGACCTGCTGATGGGTTAAGGATGTTCTACAGTCTCCTAGAGTAACTGCCTGTCTCCTAAATCTCCTCTGCACCCCTCTATGGGAAAAAATGTCAGTGGCCTTAACCTGTAAATGCATTCCTTTTCTGGGGGGTGTCTCATCGTTGGATCTTTCGTTAAGGAGCTGAAACTAAAGAAAAACATTCAAGCCTAGCTAAATTTTGAAACAAGATACACCAAGTCTTCCAAAATGTGTTGTGCTCTGATGTAAATGGTATCTTTGACACAAAAACAGCACTAATATACTACATATTCATCAAAACAACACCATTGCCCCTGTCGAGCATGGCGGTGGTTGTGTCATGCTTTGAGGCTGTTTATCTGGGAATTCAGTCAAGGTTTAGGGAATCTGAAAAATTTCAAATACTATTCAATTTGAAGCACACGTGCCCACCACACAGCTGAAATTGAACATTTTAATACGAATGTGTGCCAGTGCAGCAAGATCGCAGCTGCTGGCTGATTCTTTGGAATGACAGGCTCCGTTTGGCTTTCGAGAATACTTCAATAAAGACCTTTTCCCGATTGCTAGAGTGCCACGGCTTTCTCTTTTAATGTCTGAGGTGATAAAAGCTGGCTCACTCTCTTGTTTTTTATTTGTTGGTTTTAGGTCAGAGCTCTGTGGCAGTCATTCTCTAGCACCACACTAGAAAAGCTATTTTTGTGGACTTGCCTTTCTTCACAGGGGCACTGACATGTCAGAGTTGGAAGTAAACTATCTGTGCTTCCTACGATGCCTTATGAGATTACTAGATGATAAAACCATGGATAGATGGATGGTCCGTAACAAGTGGTCAGATGTTTACGAGCTGATATCATTACACGGTTGCACAGGGCTGTCCAAGATTACATGACTTTTTGAGAGAATTCTCTTAATTAGAACCAAAGCAATTAACGCAAATCATTAATTACTTTACTTAGTTTTTAATGCATAATTTAAGAGCACTTCATTAGCTGCTTTGAAATAAGCAGTAGGAGGGAGTGAGGCTGTGGCTCAGAGTCTATTCTTGACCTTGGCAACGAAACAATTGACAAAATAATCTCACCTCAAGGTCTGTTTATGGCAACTGTTCCCTTCATCTACTCAAAAATGAAGTAAATGTATCTTAAAGTATTAAAATTGTGTATGTGACTCAGAGATCTCAGTCTGTCAACAAAAACATGTCTGAGAAAAAATAAACTCATACTTTAAACAATAAGACCCTGGCTTCATAAAGAAATCTAATATTTGGAAGACTGTTATGAAGACAAGCTCTTTATTCCTTTTGAACCACTGATGAGAAAACATGAATCCATTCAGCCAGGACTTTTCTTTTCTCTCACCTTCAGTTAAGGTCTTTTTCTTAGAACCAGCCAGGACCCAGAAATGACCTTAACTGTGCTGACTGCTGAGGAGAAATTGCTTTTTGAGGGACGCCCATATAAACCGAGTTCTAAAATATATCTATCATTGTTGAATAAAGGGCTTTGTGCTATGTTTTCACAAATCTACAGAGAGACAGCGAGATGGGAATCAGATTTGAACACTACAACTGAAGAACATCTGTGGTCAGATCTGTGTCATCAGCCACTGTGAATACGCAGCATCGAGCAGTTAACCATCACTTCTGCCCTGAGCTACGACCTACTCTGCATACACGACAACTCCAAACTTTCATTATCTGAAATGAGTTTTAAATGTGAGTTGAGATCGTTCCTGACTGCAGTGACGAACATTTGGCATGACATGTGGGAAACTTCCTTCATTTAAATTACCTTTAAATTGACAAAATAAACAGTTCTTTGATTCAACTTTGAATTCACTTTGTGAAAATGTGCTACACTGCAAATGTTTGGCAGTCTCCTTACTTCTAAATGGAACTGAGATGTGAACAGTTACATTCACTTTGGAAACGTTTGAATAAATTCTATATAATACTGTGCAAAACTCTTGAACCGACCGTTATTTCTTTATATTTTGCTTCCAAACACCCACATTTTCTCAAACATGTCAAAAGTGGTCTTGAGCGATAGTTCTCCGGCCTAAGTTGTTCTTTGACTGCTTTTTCACTCCTTTTCAGTCCACTTCTTGTACCTGACCATTTTCAAAGTCTTTGCGTGTGTGTGTGTGTGTGTGTGTGTGTGTGTGTGTGTGTGTGTGTGTGTGTGTGTGTACTCTAAAGCTAACTTCTTGATGTGTGCTCAATCATCCAGGTAAGTAAATCTCCAAAAGTTGATTCTGTTCATCTGGACGTAGCGTTTTGTGGGAGAAACGTTTCGTCACTCATCCAAGTGATTCTTCAGTCTCAACTGACTGCATGTTTCCCCAATTGAGGAGGGGGGCTAAGGGTACATCTTTTGCCATCTTACAGTGCTGTGATTGCAGCCATTCCTCAACTCTCTATGGAGTCATGGTCATTGATCAATGGTCTTTCATCAATGGGCTTTGATTAGTGGTTGTTGAACAATGGTCATGAGAATTTCCATATTAATGATCAATGAACTGACCTCACAGCCCATTGTACCTTCAGTGGGCTGGTTTCAGTCATTATGTAATGTGATGTTTCTCCCTCTGACGACGCTACGTCCAGATGAACAGAATCAGCTTTT